TAAAATTTATTTGGCTATTTGAGCCGGACCAAAGCGAAATTAAAAAGATTAATTAAAAGCTTGCAAATACATAAACGGAGGCTATTTTTCAACAACGGAACAGTATCAAACACAGTACTATAATTATCGGGCAAAACGACGTTGGAAGAATAATAGACAATTAGCATCTTTTCTAGGGACGCACTAAAAGTAGGCACTTGCAAATTAGGCACTTTTTTAGGCACTTATTTAGGCACTTAGGAAAAAAAGTAAAAAGGGCGTAATACCTTTTAAAAACATAATTAATTAGTTAAAAATGGTCAAATTAAATGTTGAAAACGCAAATTGCAACGGGCAAACTCAATAACAATATTTAAAACGTAGTATTAAAGGCAGTCGCACGCGCTTGGTCACCACATATGCTAGGCACATATTTAGGCACTTCGAAAAATAAAGAAAATGGCAATTATCAGTAATAAAAGACAGAGACATGAACATATTACCCACACTGATTAGCCTGGGTAAATATCCAATAGATGCACCTGAGTCTAGTACTGGAATTTAGAAATAATAAATTGTTACCGGTAGGCACTTATTTAGGCACTTCGGAAAAAAAGGTGAAATGGACGTAGTAACTCCTAAAAAGGTAATGAATTAGTTCAAAATATTTAAATTAGATGTTGAACTCAAAAATTGCAACAGTTAAATCCAATAATGATTTTTAAAACATAGTATTAAAGGGAGACGCACGCGCTCTGTCACCACATATGCTAGGCGCACATTTAGGCACATCGAAAAAAAAAAAATGGGAATAATCACCAATAAAAAAATAAAATAAAAATATTAGTCAAAATGATTAGCCTGAGACTGGGTGAATATCTAATTGATGCACTTGAGTCTAGTAGTGGTATTTGAGAATAATAAATTGTTATCGGTAACACCTTTTACCGTGTTTCCCCGAAATTAAGACAGTGTCTTATTTCAAATTTCTTCCTAAAATTACCACTAGGGCTTATTTTCGGGGGATGTCTTATAATTTAATTTATCAAAAACAAAATTACAAAGTAAAGAATTAAGATATTTTTAAATATGCAAAATATAAAAACCGATATCAATTTACTTATGAATAACACGTTTTTATTGAAAATATCTGTTAAACGTAGATTATTAGGTATTTAAAACGTGTAGGAGAGATTTCTTGCTATCCACTTGGTCAATTAATTCGCGTTATTGACTAGGTCTTACTTTAAGGGGAGGGCTTATATTATATATAATTCTTAAAATTCAGGCTAGGTCTTATTTTCAGGGTAGGTCTTATTTTCGGGGAAACACGATAGGCAGTTCGAAAAAACTCTTTTAAAAACACAATTAATGAATTAGTTAAAAGTAGTCAAATTAAATGCTGCACACGCGAAGTGCAACAAGTAAAAACAATGATAATATTCAAAACGTAGTATTAGAAGGATCACCACATATGCTAGGTACTTATTAAGGCATTTCGAAAATAGAAAAAAATGTGAATTATCACCAATAAAAGGGCGAGAAATAAAAATATTAGTCACACTAATTAGCCTATGTGAATATGCGCTTCAGTTTATTAGTGCCATTTAAAAATTTTAAATTATTACCGGCAGGTAACATCAATTAGGCACTTAGGAAAAAAGGTAACATGGGATTAATAACTTTCACAAAGATAATGAATTAGTTAAAAATAGTCAAACTTAAATGTTGAACATGCAAAGTGCAACAGGTAAACCCAATAACAATCTTTTAAACGTAGTATCAAAGGGAGTTGCACGATATTGGTCATACTAGTTAATCTTGCTAGCTCAGAGACGCCAGGGTTCAAAGAGTTCATTAATTAAAGCAGTGGTGATACGCAATTGTCTGGAAACAATATACTACATTTTAAACCTCATTTATTGGTTTACTCATTGTACTTCAGATGATCAACATTCAAGTTTTATAATGCGTTTAACTAGTCCCATCAATTCCATTTTCTTTATTTTTCGAAGTGCTTAATATGTGCCTAGCATATGCGTTGATAGAACGCGTGCGCCTCCTTATAATACTACGTTTTAAACATTATCATTGGGTTTACTTGTTGCAATTTGCATTTTTTTAATTTAAATATTTTAAACTAATTCATTATCATTTTAAAAGTTATTACGCCCATTTTACGCATTTTTAGAAGTGTCTAAATAAGTGACTAAAAAGTGCCTACGGTAACAATTTATTATTGTCAAATATCACTACTAGACTCAAGTGCATTCTTCGGATATTCAAATAGGCTAATTATTTTGACTAATATTTTTATTTTCTGTATTTTTATTCATGATAATTACCATTTTCTTTATATTTCGAAGTGTCTAAATATGTGCTTAGCATATGTGGTGACAGAGCGCGTGCGTCTCCCTTTAATACTATGTTTTAAAAATCGTTATTGGGTTTACCTGTTGCAATTTCCACGTTCAACATGAAATTTAAATATTTTGAACTAATTCATTATCTTTTTAGGAGTTACTACGTCCATTTCACCTTTTTTTCGAAGTGCCCACCGGTAACAATTTATTATTCCTAAATTCCAGTACTAGACTCAAGTGCATCTATTGGATATTTGCCCAGGCTAATCAGTGTGGGTAATATGTTTATTTCTCTGCCTTTTATTAGTGATAATTGCCATTTTCTTTGTTTTTCGAAGTGCCTAAATATGTGCCTAGCATATGTGGTGACAGAGCGCGTGCGTCTCCCTTTAGTACTACGTTTTAAAAATCATCATTACAATATTGGGTTTAACTGTTGCAATTTTTGCGTTCAACATTTAATTTAAATGTTTTGAACTAATTCATTATCTTTCTAGGAGTTACTACGTCCATTTCACCTTCTTTCCGAAGTGCCTAAATAAGTGCATAAAAAAGTGCCTACCGGTAACAATTTATTATTTCTAAATTCCAGTACTAGACTCAAGTGCATCTCTTAGATATTTACTCAGGCTAATCAGTGTGGGCAATGTGTTTATTTCTCTGTCTTTTATTAGTGAATATGCCATTTTATTTATTTTTTGAAGTGCCTAAATATGTGCCTAGCATATGTGGTGACCAAGCGCGTGCGACTGCCTTTAATACTGAGTTTTAAATATTGCTATTGAGTTTGCCTGTTGCAATTTGCGTTTTCAACATTTAATTTGACCATTTTCAACTAATTAATTATGTTTTTAAAAGGTATTACGCCCTTTTTACTTTTTTTCCAAAGTGCCTAAATAGGGGCCTAATAAAGTGCCTAATTTGCAAGTGCCTACTTTTAGTCCATCCCTCTTTTCTAAATGCTAAAAAGGACAAGGACCATGAAGCTTAATTAAAGGATTGTCCTTTGAAATAAAGAACGGTTGGCAACCCTAGGTGTATCTGAGCGGCTGCAAAAATTGCAATTGAAACGTCATTGTTGAATTATTTCTGATTGGTTGTGATTACGGCAATTGCCAGTAGACAAGGAAATAATACTCGGGGAAACATTCATGTCGAAATACCGAAAATATAAAGATTTTATTGAGGTCAAGGGTCGGGGAAACCCCCAACAGTTGGCTAACCACCTTGCCACCAACCAAAGCCTGCTTGCCACAGCCCACAGAGATGAGTGGCGGTTCATTATGTTGTGGAATGATTGATAGATAGATAGATAGATAGTTTATTTCGAAAACTCCATAACAAACCTAAATTTAAAATGGAGAATTCTGGAGGGCAAGCAAAACCTACAAAAAAGTTTAAAACATGAAGTATCTCATGTGCCTGCCCACCAGCACGCACACAAAAACACAAGCCCAATTAAATGAGGCTTGGGCCAAACTTAAAAAACAAAATACACGATAGTAATAAACTTTCGGGCTGTTGTTGCTCTTCTTGTCGATGATTAGGTTATCTTATCGGCTTTCCACTTTTTAAGGATTCAGGATGAATATTAAATTTGTATTACATTAAATTTGTATTCTATGTAATGGAATAAAACGCACTGGTCTAGTAGTTTTAATCTAGAACAGTACAGCAGTAGTGCACATACAGATAGAGGAAAGTTGAATTGATGCCATTGAATATATCACCGGTCGGTTCAATCAATCAATTTACAGAGGACCTGGCAGCCTGGAGGACTAGCATTATAAAATATTGCCAGTTGAAAAAATATCATGTTGCGTGATTGGCATCTGTGTTAGGTTGATTTAATTTTTGATAACTGCAGTCTGGCAGTAGAAAACAAATCAAAACAGTTTATTTTAAAATCAATCTTTATGAATATGTCAGTAAAATTTATTGATGTTGTCTTGTCCTACCAACTCCTGGGCATACCTCACCATTACCCATGTTGTCTAATCCACCCTCCTCGCACAACTGTCTGTATGAAGGACCATATTATACTTATTCGATTTATTGCATTTTATGATTATCATAAGGAGTGTATGCCGCACGTTCATGTGTTGTAGGCCAGTATGGTCTTGTGTATACATCCAGTCTTCAATGTTGATATTTACTAACTCCTGTGTTTTTGCTTTTACGAGACAAATAAACATACATACATACAGTACCCTATGCGACTCAGCGATTAAATTGTTAGTTCAGAGTTGGCACCACAGGTTCCAATCCCATTCCTCTCACTTCACCCACGTTGTGATAAATTGAGTGAGCAATGCTGACCCCAAAAGATAACATCTTTTCCAAAAATAGTAGCCCCCTTAGGATAGGATTTACATATTTATCCTGGGGGAGAGGAAAGCGATAAGATGGCTTAACCATATGGCGAACCACAGCCTCTCGTCCGGTTACCAGTCCTTGTCGGGTGTGGGATTAGTTATTTGTTTTTCGAAAGCATGGACTTGTACATATTGTTAGATAACAGTGGCTGATGTAAAGAATTGAAAGGGTTGAAAGCACCATATAGAAAATATATACCCTGATTTTTCCCTTCAACATGACTCGCTTTAAAATTCATTCAATATTATTTCAGAATGTAATCAAAATAGGTAGGCCTATCTGTTTCTAGGCTATAAAAATGGCGATCCCTGTTGCCAGCATGTCTGAGGAACATCTTCACTTTGAAGTTCTTCCTTGGAATCAGAGATGCAACATCAAGTTATCTCAATTTGACTTGTTATTGAGACAAAGTTGGGACGACGCTCTGAAAAAAGGAGTTTTCTTACATGAAGTGGAATCTGAGCCATCTCGTGTGGAAGGAGATAGAAAATTTGTCGCTGTTCTATGTAAAAATCGGGCATCTCAAAAGAGGAAGCCGCAATCATTTATGAGCATTAAACAGCCAATTAATTTAACATCATTCAATTTTACAAAAGTGAAAAAAGCGGAAAAACTTTTCACAATAGACATTGAAAATATTGAAGATATAACAAGTTCAGAAACACCAGAAGAATTGGGATTTGAGGGAAATTCCAATAAGTGTGACAATTTTACAAATGGTAATATAGACTCTGAAAGACAACATAGCACAGTTCCCTCATTTTTTAAGACTAGTATAATAATAAATAATTCTCCTTACGAATTCGGGCATTCCTTACTTGTACCTGAAGTATACAAACTTCATATACAATCAATCACACTTAATGCAATTAAAATGGGAATTGAAGTATTGCTAAGAAGTTCCCATACTGGTTTCAGAGTGATGTACAACAGTTTATGTGCTGGAGCAAGTGTCAATCACCTGCATTTGCATTGCTATTACACAGAATACTGGCTTAATAGTGAAGCTTTCAGGATGATACCATTGTTAGAGGAATTTAGTTCCGAAAAGAATTGTAAAAATGTTCTATCTGATTGTTTTGAACTGGACTTTAATGATTCTTGTGTAAGGGGTTTTGGTTTTTTGATAACGAAACAAAATTATGCGTTTCGCTTACCACTTATTACGCATAAAATTGTTGAGTACTTTAATGCCAATGAAATTCCTCATAATATTGTCATAATACGAGGTTTGCCACCTAGTGGCATTGATTATACCGCTCATTCACATTGTTTCGATAGAGTTCCAAACGGGCAAAATTCGTTATCAGACAAAAATGGAGTTTCTCAATATTCAAATATACCTGAAATTAAAGACGATGCGACACCATATCATGGTTTAAAAGATATTGATCCTAAAGTATCATCAATTCCTTTAGTAGGTCGTTTATATATTTATCCAAGAAAGCCCTTATATGGTGAGAAATGTTATCGTAAATTTTTAGTCAATGTTACAGAACTTATGGGTCACTTGTATTTTGGGGATATAGATGTCTTCAATTCAATGAATGAAAATGATATTGTAAAAGCATTAAATGATGTTTCTTTGTCGAGTGGGGAATTTGAAAATGTAAAAACTGATGTTATAAAAATTATTTTGTCTTGCGATAAAAGTTTTTAATGAAAATTGGATTGTCATTTTCTATGTTATACTCTTTAAAGCTTAAAATACTTGTCTTAAATGATAAAAATCACTGATAAAATAGTTACAGCTACCCCTGTTCAGAGTTACCACTGCCACTCCTGGATTCAAACAGGGCTGCAAGGTCTGAGTTAGGCGTGTTTTCATGCAATAGTCGTTTTCGCAAACATGTGGGAATCATACTCAAAATTGGATCGAATACTAGGTAGTTTGACCCTCATAAAATAATGAGTCACTGTTATTACCGGTACTTTTGAAATATTTTTTTATTAGATTATGTTTATAATAGTGTTGACTTTGTTTTGAGGATAATATCTCTTTCTTGACATGTTTTCGCTGGAGTCAGTGCTGGGTATTTTCATACACCTGGGAAACAAAATTTTGAATACGCTAAAATTTTAGAATTATTTTTAGATAAAATCAATTTTTATATAAATTGAAAAAAAGTTTTCATCATCAAAATTTGATTTCCATCAATGTTTGGAGTCGAAAATTACATCGAGCCAGCGTTAAATTATTCCAACCTGGTAGTGAAATACTTTTGAAACCTGGATTTCATTGCGCGTCTTCTCCAACTCCCTGGATTCAAATATAGATCATTGGATACGATTAATATATTTTCAATATGTAGTTTTCTGTACACATTTTTCTTAACTAAATTAATATATTATATCTTTGCTTAATAAATTCCTTGTGCGCAACCAGAGCTTTCAAATTAAAAGTAAGTTGAAGGGTTTGGTGAAATTTCTGTTGCATATTGTGATCTTTTGTAATTACTGTTATCATTTAGGTTTTCACAATTTTGAGCCTAAGTAATGGGTGGTGACTGACTTTGATGACCTTTGGTCGTATCGTCATCTCCCAGTCTATACCAAAATTAATGCTGTGCAGTTTATCATTTTAAAATTGATTTGTATTTTGGTTGAAAAAAATGATAAACTCTCTCTCTCTCTCCCAACTGGGGATGTTTTTGGGAAGGAGAGTTTACTCTGTATTTCCATGTAGTATTCCTAAATTTTTGCTTATTTAGTGTTATGTATATTTGTGCACATGTTATAAACTATTCAAAATATACAAAATTTGGTACTCCCGAAGTATGTGAACCAAGATGGCGGACTCCGAAACGTAGTGTGTGTACCAGGTTAGGCCATAATTTCAGGTATAAATACTACGGCAGAACTAAATAAGAAAAATTGGAATAAAATTATTGCCTAACCCTAACTTGGTACACATACTTCGTTCCAGTGTCTGCCATCTTGGTTCACATATTTCCGGAGCGTCCAAAATTTGCACTTATCGCAAGTGAATGTTCTGTTAAAGATTGGATAACAAATGCAAATATTGTTTTACGTGTAGTGGGGGAGAAATATGGAGATAAAAATAGGCAAAGTGAGGAATGTGACAGAAAATGTTGGGACCACTGGTCTAGACTTTATTCACTGTCAAATACAATTTGTTATAGATTAACTAATTTATGTTACGGTTTACAGGTCTCTGTTCTCATTTTCATCAAATAAATTCATATATTAAATATTAGCTAAATGAATAACCACATAAGACTTCTTGGTGCTGAGATTTTCCTAAATAGAAGTACGGTGAAAATTCTATTGGATTATTATCTTGACCATTTACTGTTATACATCTCCAAAATCCTTCATGAATATGCACATGTAGAAGTATTCAATATTTCACTCAAAATGTTGCTGTTTTATTATGATTATTGGAAACACTGTTTAGGACGTTGGGGGGACACCTCATTTTGTCAAGCTTGTCCATCGATAGGGTGGGATTTGCAAAATTTCGCCGGGGGAGAGGTATGACCATAATACGGCTTAATCATATGGCGAACCACGGCCTCTCGTCCGGTTACGTTACCAGTCCATGTCGGGTATGGGATTAGTTAGTTATTTGTTTTCCGGAAGCACGGATTTGATGGTGGAGGAAGTCGTAACCGACCAGCGGTTACGTGAACCACCCTGCGGCGGCGAGGAGTCCAGAAATCCTCTCGCACATGATCATCCCCGCATGGGATCCACGAAGGGTAATCAGAGATAGCGTATTCCGGCGCGGCGGTGTGGCTCAACGGGCTAAGCGTTAGGAATACGCTCGCCACCGCACCTCTAACTACTCTGCGTGGGTTCGCAGGTTCGAATCCCATGCAGGGATGGTTATGTGCGAGAGGATTGCTGGACTCCTCGCCGTCGTTGGGTGGTTCACGTAACCGCTGGTCGGTTACGGCTTCCTCCACCACTAAGTCCATGCTTCCGAAAACAAACAATACAGTAAAGCTCATCCCATACCCGACTTGGAATGGTAACCGGACGAGAGGCCGTGGTTCGCCATAAGGATAAGCCGTCTTATCGCCTTTCCTTTCCCCCGGGATAAATATGTAAATCCTATCCTATCCTAACGCCTACCACGATGCGCCACCACCGTGTGTCGTGCCCCCTTGTGCTGGGAGGGGCCATGTGATTCAAATCTTCCGCGTAAACAAACGTGCTATCTGCTAGGGCTTTGACAAACAACAAGGTAAAAGGAAAGCAACGACACGCACAGGGAATAAATCAGGAAATTAATCACGCTTCAGCTTGAGAGCATTGTTCCCTTCAGTCCCGTTGAGGACTTTCTAGCGAATTGAAAATAGCCAACGGCGGAAGTCACATCAGGTAAATTCCCCCTGCGCGACGTTCCAGGATTGCCACATATAAAACTCTGAAACGATGTTGATACCCTACGAACGGACTAAATCAACGAGGATATGCAACGCATTCATTATCTATCAACAAAGATATAAAATTCTCAACCCATAAAAATGCTTGAAACTGAAATCAAGTTTCTTTCATTTTTTAGGAATAGTCCTCGCCGGGCGTAGAACATTGTAAATTAGGGTTACCATATTTTTGTGACTTCAAATCGGGACGCCTCGAAAGACAGCGACCCCTTAGCTGTGATTTTATAACTTCACATTTTCCGATTTTACTACATAGGCTACATTTAAAGCTGTCTCGGCTGTCTTTATTGACCATATTGTTATCGAAATTTCATGCGCATATTCTCTATCCAAATATCGGGTTCAGTTCGAAAGATAGGAAGGAATTGACGTTAACGATACCGGTACAAATAATTCGAATTTAGACTAATTAGTATTGGTTTTACATGCGATACGTATGCCATCAATGGGAATCAGCGGGAAACGAACGCATTCACCTTCACTAAGTAGGCTAGCGCTGCGCTACACAGAAACAACAGTAACGAGAACATGTTTGTGCATTATGCTGGAAAAGCGGGACTTTTGGCTGACTTATCGGGACGGCGGGACAAAACGCTGAAAAGCGGGACGTATGGTAAGCCTATTGTAAACTAATTTCGACAAAATAACTTTTTAATCTGCACGTGGACTACCCAGTCTTATTCCTGCTTCTAATTAATCACTTGTATATACACTTGTTGGGAGGAGACATGCTTTCATCAAAGCTATATTTTGCTTGTATTCAAGCAGGGAAGAGCCATAGTGGAGCGCGTTATCGCACATGTTTCTCTTTAACATGTGAGTCTGTTGGTTAGTTTGATAATTTAATTATTAATAATTCAAACATTTAACTCTTACTTGATCTGTAATTTATTCATCCTCATGTATAGCAACATCTATAAATTGTGAATTCTCCTAATCTTTGAAGTCAACTATAAAGGGCATAATTATCATAAACTCGTCCTGAGCATCGGAAAAGTTTGGTACGTGCCTGTATTTAGGGCTGGGCATTTCGAATCGAATATTCGAATCGAATAGTAAATTATTCGAATCGGTTGAAAGCAAATTTTCGAATCGCCGCCATCTTGTTTTACTCTTTCCGCCAATGGTCGAGGTAAATTTCTCAATTTTTTTTCATTGAAGCCATATTTTTTCAACACAATTCTGACATATGACTCTTTTCTGTATTGAGGTATTGATGGAAACGTGTTTTTTTTTATTGTCAGTGATGTATTCTATGTTTCCAGTAATTTATGTGTCTGGAGGACCTAAAATAATAAGAAAGTTACATATAATTTCATACCTTTCAAGTATTTGAGATTCGATTCGATTCTGAAATCATCAGGTATTCGAAAATGCCCAGCCCTACCTGTATTCAAGGCCCTCAATTACCGTCTTTTTATATTTGTTTATAAGCAAGGTTTCCGCTCTAAACAAGTTAGCGCAAGTTTTGACAAATTCAATACTAACTATCAATCTTCAACGTTAATATCAGATATAAATTGATGATCGCTATATACATGTAGGTTAGTTCCAAAGTGCTAAAATCACATTGCAACGGCAATGTATTTACAAAATTTATGATCAAAACGAGGAAATATTAAGATATTTGACCTTCTATCTTGACTTCTTCTATCTTTTAGTACATGGGGGGCAACCTGCGGCCCAAAAAGAAAAACTGTGCGGTCCGTGAAGAAATGACAATTTTAAATCGTGTACGGACCGCGAAACGAGTTTTCAATTTAGTTTAGTCTGGTACATGTGAGTACCGTATATGCTCGTTTTACCGCCCGATCTTGATTAAGGGCCCGTTTGAATAGCCGCCCGTGTGATCAGAACATAATAATAAATAAGGGCCGGTGCTTGAATACCCGCCCGATGTAAAAGCTGATTTTTCAGTGGTAGAGAACAATAGGAAATAAGAAGCGCTTTTGTCACAACGCTGTTGAACTGAAAATAACAAAATATTACCTATTGTAACGATCGGAAATAACAAGCGCCCGTGTTTGAATACGAGCCCGGTTAGAGAGTCGGTTGAAAAAAATATGGGCACGGGCTACAAAACGAGCAAATACAGTAATTCCAATCCCTCACAATGCCCCGACAGCTAGCTTGTGCAAAGCGACAACGCATGTCATCAGATCAATGACCACAATTTTTGTATGTGCAACTACCAGGAAGTCTATGTTATTGGACACGTAGTGGACATAACCATCGTTTCAATATTATGTTGTTCTTGTTCTTGTTGTTTGACACAGAATAACACACCTAGTGGAAATATTAAAAAACCGCTTTTCTCTTCGAATACTGGACCGATTGCTTCGAAATTTTTACCGGTTAAAGATGACATTTTTCTCCAGAAGGCTATTACTTTTATTCATTTTAAATATTTCTGTTAGCTCTGTGAGATTTGTTTTTGTTTGCTATGACGTCATTGAACGTTCTGGGGAAATCGGACGCCATTTTGTGTCCTACTGTACTGCTTCGCTTGGTGTGAATATATTTGTAGACTGTGATCTGACGGTACGGTAAACCGTACTGTACTGCGAACAGACGTGTCCATATATTTGGGCGTAGCTCTCTTGTTAAATAAAAATGCGGCCCGGGGTTCCACCAAGTTATTTGGGTGCTTCTAAGGTAGGATAGGATTGTATTTACATATTTATCCCGGGGGAGAGGAAAGCCGATTTAATCATATGGCGAACCACGGCCTCTCGTCCGGTTACCAGTACTGGTCAGGTATGGGATTAGTTAGCCAGTTATTTGTTTTCGGAAGCATGGACTTGATGGTAGTGGAACCGTAACCGACCAGTGTTTACGTGAACCACCCTGCGGCGGCGAGGAGTCCATCAATCCTCTCGCACATGATCATTCCCGCATGGGATTCTAACCTGCGATCCCACGAAGAGTAATCAGAGATGGGGTGGCAAGCGTATTCCTAACGCTTAGCACGATGGGCCACACCGCCGAGCGTACCAATATGGCGCACATCGGAACGTAGTATGTGTACCAGGTTCGGGTTAGGTCATAATTTTATTCTAATTTTTTTCCTTATTTCAGTTCTATTATGAGTTCGGGGACTAGCTAAGTGGCTTCAGTAGTATTTGTACCTAAAATTGGTATGTATCTTTCAGGAGTACCGTTATTTGTATCCAGCTCTCTTGTGTTGAAGGTTACACACCCCTCTGTTAATACTAAAAGATTGATCCATGAATTTCGAAGAAAAGCGTTTTTTTTTTTGCGACAACGCTGATCTAGCAAAAACTAGTTCCACTCAAGTGTAATAAAGAAACCTCACGCTATTTTAGATTTTGCTTTCAGCAATATTATGATGACATAATGCATACTTCTGGTAACCTATAGCGGAAGAAAGTGACAATACTTGAACTTCCGTAATATTTTGTGACACTTCAAGTACATGATAGGTATTATGCGGTCATAAAGCGTGTAGTTCAGTGACCCGTGACCTATGTTTTGACCCGTAACATATGATAACACGGAAACATCGGTATAGCGTGTCATTATGAGTACATAATTGCACCCCGAAGTTTGATTGTTACCAAATAAAGTATTTTATTATGACGTTAAAT